GGCTAGCGTTTCGAGCTGAAATCACTCCTGGAGATACAAAGAGGATGGCCAGAGGAAGGTAATCTGATGCTACAGGTTAAATGGGAAAAAAAATCCTGCTAAGTAATAAATATGTTCTTCTGTTCTTGCTCAAGGACCGAGTAAATTGAGATGCGAAGCCACACAGGCAAGGGCCAGCCTGGGTCAGCAGTTCACTGGCACACAGCCCAGCAGTGCTGCCATCGTGAGCATTAAATGCTGTGGGCAAGGGGTGCAAACTCCCTCCCAAGGCAACAACCTCCCCACCAGCAGAGGGCAGCACAGGTGTCACAGGCACACGCTTAGCGTTGGAGAGAAATGTTGAGCTCACAAGCAACTTGGGTACCGAACAGTTTTAAAGGCCAAGGACAAGAAATGGGGGCAAGCATTCTGGAAACCAGCTAGCACGTATGTCCAGTCCTGCACTTTCGGTTTTATTTTCAGTTTACTGATGGCAGGGATAAGAAAGCAACTTGCAAGTTTAAAAAAAATCGAAACATAGTCTCACAGTGATTAAATCAACTTATCCCCACCTCTAACTATTAAGCACTAAACATTTTCAAAAAGTTAAAATGAGAATGGTTTATGGTCCTTAAAATTCCAATAAACACAAGCGTTTGAAGTTTACATAATTTTGAAGGAAAAAAGCATCTCAGCCAACAGAAAGCCCAGTGCTCTGTGCGTGGGAGCGTGGGCTGCCCAGGGGCCTGCTGTCCACCTCCTGGGGGCAGCCAGACGCCGCCTCTGAGGCTGGGGCCCCTCGGTTGTGAAATGGGCCTAAGATCTGCTCTGTACCACTGCAAAGATTGCTTTGAAGGTTAAATCTGATGTTACATGTGAGAACATCTCTAAGTTGTAAAAAAGGCCGTATGCCCTTTCAAGTTTTCATTCCGGACATTTCAATTGACTGCTAAAAATGAGGAGCTTGTTAAGCCAAAAATTCCCTAGCAATTTCTCCAATAAACTATGATTTTTAAAGAAGAAAAATGGGGGTTAAATTCTAAACGTTGATCGAGACCGTGAACAAGCTAAGGAGTGCTCAGCAGCCACACTTCTCCAAGTGCAAAAACTAGTTCTCGTGGCTCACAGAGGCCGAGAGTCTGAAACACCAGGTAAAAACGTGCATAAACAACACAAACAATAGAACACTGGCAGGAACACCACTGTTTGCCATTCCTAGACGTGTCCTCTGAAAAGGCAGCAGGTGTGAAGTTTTCCAGACCTGAGGACAGTAGCTCTGGCTTCTGGTTCAACATGGGGATGTGTCAACTGTAACAGAGTGTGACACTTTTCGCCCCGTCTCACAACGGATACTTGGACAGCTGAGCACGCCGAGGCCGGAGAGCAGAAGTTGATTGACAGTTATGCCCTCAGTTGCTTCTCACAGTCCTCAGGACTAGAGCTTCGTTTTCACGGGGACAGGTCGGTGAGGATGCCGAACACAGCCGTCGGGGTGCCTGCTTGCCCACAGGCTGTCCATGAAGCCCCAAGAAGCTAAGGGTGCACAGACAGAATGCCCAAGAAATACTTATCCAAACCACAAAATCGGCAGCCTAAACATTACAGTTCTTAACCCAGGAATGTAATGTGGTAACTGTACTGAAGGCAACATTCACAAAGGGAGCAGGCTTTCTCTAGGAGATATGGTTTTAGACCATCTTATAATAATGTGTCTTGGAGTTTTGGATTGAAATTAAGGGGGAGTCTTAGCTTCATGAACTTGAATGACAAAATGTCTCCCCAGGATTGGGAAGTTCCCCACCTATTTCTTTCAATAAGCTTTCTGCCTCCTTTCCCCATCTTCTCCTTCTGGGGCTCCAGTGATGCGTAGACTGTTTCTCAGCTGTGCACCATGAGTCCTGTAGGCTTTCTTCTTTCCTTTGCATTCTTTTCTTTTTGCTTCACTGGCTGCATAATTTCAAATGATGTGTTAAAGCTCACGGGTTCTTTCTTCTGCTCAATCCAGTCTGCTGTTGAAGCTCTCTTTTGAATTCTTCAGTTCAACCATTGTATTCTTCAGCTCCAAAATTTCTTTCGTTCTTTTTTATGTTTTCTATTTCTTGTTGAACTTCTCATTTTGTTCTTATATTGTTTTCTTTTCTTTTTAATCCTCACCTGAGGATATTTTTCTGTTTATCTTCAGATAGAGTGGGGAGGAGAGGTGGAGAGAGAGAGAGAAACATTGACGTGAGAGGGACACATCGACTGGTTGCCTCGCGCAAGACCCCAACCAGGGCCAGGGACGAACCACAACAGAGGTATGTGCCCTTGACCGGAATCGAATTAGTGACTCATTGGTCCATGGGCCAACGCTCTAACCACTGAGCAAACCAGAGAGGGCAGTTATATTGTTTTCCTGATTTAATTAAATCTTGTTCTCTTGTAGCATTCTGAGCATCTTTAGAACAATTATTTTGAATTCTTTGTCAGCAATTCATGTATCTCCACTTTTTTGAGGTCTGTTTCTGGAAGTTGACTGTGCTCCTTTGGTTGCGTCCTATTTTCCTGATTCTCTGTGATCCCTGTAGCCTTGAGAAGCAGTGCACTAAGCAGCAGTCACCTCTTCCAGACTTTATGGACTGACTTTGGTAAGGAAAGACCTCCACCTGCGGGTGGGGCCCGCTGGAGTGTGCTCTGATCCCAGGGCAGTAGTGCAGAGTGCCAAGTGCAGGGGTGCGTGGTGGCTCCAGTTCTGTGTGTGTGTGTGTGTGTATGTGTGTGTGCATGTTTCATTGGTTCAGGCCACCGAGGTCCACAGCATCAACTCTGTTGTCCTTGGTAAGCACTGTTGGGGTCCCCAGTGGCTAGGGACCAGGGCAGGCAACAATGGGTGCCGGAGCACACACTTGGCTATGGAGGCCAGATGCAGGTGCCTGTGTATGGCAGGAACTGGTTGCAGACACACTTGTAGCAGTGGGGAAAAAGCTGGCAAGCCCCTGGGTCAACTGTGGGCCCACAGAAGCTACGGGGGTCCTGGCTGTGGGTGTGCTCTACCATGTCTGCACAGTCTCCCCGAGGGCATGCACACAACAGTGGAGGTTGGTGATGGAGGGTTAGGCTGGGGGTGTGCAGGTGCATAGCCAGGAGGACGGGGGCATCTGTGGGGCAGACCAGTGACTGGAGATAAGCCAGATCCAGGCCCATAAGCAGCCATGGGGCTTGGCTGTCAGCGTGCACTTCCGTGGCTACGGGTAGGCCAGTGAAGGGTCAGGCCGGCAGCCTGCCAGTGCACAGCTGGAGGGGCCAGCCACAGGGTGTCAGTGCAGTGGGGGTCAGCCTTGGGCACCTAGGCTGGCGTATTGTACTCTTGTAGCTGCAGAGGACTTCTCTCTTTTAGAGAGAGAAGGAATAGAGGTGGAAACATTGATGTGAGAATCATCGATCAGCTGCCTCCTGCACGCCCCCTACTGGGGATAGAACCCCCAACCGGCATGTGCCCTGACTGGGAATCCAACCGGGACCTCTCAGTCCATGGGACTACGCTTAATACCCTGAGCCTCACTGGCAGGGTGCAAGTTTATTTCCTTAATGCTAGTCCTCTTTAAAATAAAACTTACACACGACATCACAAAGTTAGAGAAAGGAGCAATGAGAGAACAGGCTTATCTGTTTCCCTCGTTCCCCACAGGAGTGCAGGGATAACATCCTCTCCCACGAAGGAGCACACAGGTTTTTGCAAGTGTACGATGCGGCTCAACCCACCTCCTACTTGGTTGGCCTACGTCCCAGAGATGCACGGCTCCAAATTAAATACCTTGTTCCTATGGGCTGTAGACACTTTGAGATGACTGATACTATGTATCCCTCCTGTTGTTACACTGGCAGGGGTGACACCCGGAAGCTGCCCTGGCCGTGGTAGCAGGCTGGCGGCCCTGCTGTCCCTGCTGAAGGTACGACTGTTGCCTGGGCTAAGGGACAGCACTCTGGTACCATTAGCAACATGCTGGGAAATCTCCAATAATACTGTATAAAAAACGTGCATTTTGCTTTTCAACACATGCCAGAAAACTAACTTTATATAATTGCAAATTAAGAATAAATATATAACCATTCTTGGCTTTGCAATAGTATTTTTAAAGAAATTCCCAATGGTGTGGAGACTATATAAAATTTGAAGAAATATTGTCAGAGCCTGGTCAGTGAGGCTCAGTGGTTGAGTGTTGACCCAGGCACCAAGAGGTCACTGGTTCAATTCCTGGTCAGGTTGTGGGCCTGATCCCAATGAGGGGCATACAGGAGGTGGCCAATCAATGTTCTCTCTCATCGGTGTTTCTCTCTCTCTCTCTCCCTTTCTTTCTCTAAAATCAATAGAGAAAAAATATTTTAAAACAGCATTGTCAGAGATGCATACTGAATTCCTTTTGGATGAGATAGATGCTTTGGATGTTCCCAAATGCTGTGGCCTAGGTAACTGGGACAAAGGTGGACGAAAGGCTGGCCTAATGTAGACCATGTGGAAGCTGGCTCATTGTTTTCTTCATACTTGTGCATGTGTGAAAACCTCCGTAATAAAGCTACTGAAAAGAACATAAATGCAGACAGATTCCCTGATCACACTATTTTCCAGCAGTAATGAGTATTTTTTAATCTTGAAGACTGATGGCTGACAGCTCACCGGGCTACTTGTCTTCCTGAAACTGGTTTCCGTGAGCTGCTGTAACAAATCAATGGATCCCAAAGCAGGGGTTGTGGGAACCTCAGATTTATGGCCAGTTGGTCAGAAGCATGGGTGACGACCTGGACTTGTGATTGGCACCTAAAGTGTGTGTGGGGCAGACTAAGCCCGCAACCTGTGGGATCTGGTACTGTCTCCAGTGGATCGTGTCAGAGCTGAGTAAGTGTAGGACACCCAGCTGGTGACTGGAAAACTAGAGAATTGGTTGGTGTGTTGGGAAACACTGCACTGACCAATACCAAATCCTCTTCCCTTTATTTTCCCTAAAGGCTTTCATTAAGACCCACCATGGTTTGGTTCTCCAGCAACTTTTATTGGTCAAAGGATGTGGAATTTATATGCAATGCGTATGGTTTAGTTAACAGGCTCATTTGTAAACCAACTTAACATTTATCTTATTTTAAAAAATTCTTGCTTTTGAATAAACAGATGTGGTGGAACGGACATGCTCCTAGCCCATGCAAGAAGCTGTTCAAATGAGCAGCCTGCAACACGATCAGAAATGAGACATTCTTCCAGCGAGGTCGGTCCAAGAAACAGTCCAGTCTGAGATTTTGCTTCATATTCTATCTTTTCAAAGTAAAATGTTCAAGGCTTTTTAAAAGCAAAGTTAAAATATCTAAAACAGATACATACTGATATTTTTATCCAAGTTACTTCCCAGAGCCGGTGGCACTGCTGTGCTCTGTTGAATGATGTAGAACAACGCAAGCTGCTCGGTAAAAGGACATTTACCAATCAGCCTGTAACTAAAAGCTGAGCGGAAGAACACATGAGGTGAAGAATGCTTTTAAACTTTTCAGCCTTAATGATGTATTTCAACTTTAAAGAAACGTTCTATTTATATATTTTTTTGCATCAACACTTTAAAATATTAAAACAAGTCTTTGCAATACAATATACATTATACTTCAGTAAACCTCACCTGAATTAAAAATGTGTTGACTTAATAACTGTACTAAGGCATTTAAGTATTCAGCAAAAGCTATACAGGATTTCTTAGTGGTATTCCTTTAATATTCACTTGATTTAGTGGGTTTCCTTTAAAGGAACACAAAATGATAAAAGGCTTAAAAAGAGGCAGTGATGCTATAATACCGAATCCCAGAAAAAGCAGAGTAGCAAACAGTGTTTTCTAGCAGGAAGACCAGACAGATCAGCGAACCGGGAACAGGTATGCAGCCCCAGGTGACGGGCTCTGTCACACTTCCCAACAACTGAGCAGAATCAGCTGCCCGGGAAGTGTGGTTACAGGTCCCAGAGTCCTCAGTGTTGATCACGGTGCCTGAACTGAGGTATTCAGGCTTCCCTTCCTGAACTGATCTGGATGAAGATGCTTTAAAATCAACAGAGTGCTGGACAGAGTCAGGTTCGTAGAAAAACTCCATTTGGATTTTATTTTGGTATGTGAGTAACCACTGAGCCAGTTTCCAGTGTGGGTCCCGTGAACATCTCGTGGGCAGGGGCGAGTGGAATGGAGTGGGCACTGCTCTGCCACCAACGCCCGAGTTAGAGGGGCAGGTCACACGTACGGCCAGCTGCGCAACACGACCAACACGACGATCAACGCACCGCACAACCAGCAGATTTCAGTTCATGTGATTAAAAAAAATAAAATATTGGACCACATTTAGTGTAACATTCTATTATATCATACATCAGGTACCATGCTGCAGAGTCCTAGTAGGCTAGAGTATATACAGCGCACAGCCAGGACCTACCCCAGGTGAAGGGAAACTATGGAACAGAAATGACATATATGTATACATCTAAAGGTATTGTCCACTGAATTAGATTTACCACGTGGTTTGCTGTGCCACGTTTACTAGCTTATCTAACACCCAAATCATTTTTCTTTCCGCACAAAGATCTACTTCTGTATAAAGTAGAAAAAGATGGTGGTAAAAAACTTCCTTGAGCTCCAACAGTTGTGTCCCAGATCCGACTGTATGAGCACCTAAAAATGATTGAGAACAAGTTAGAAATATGCATATCTATAAATGTACAAACAAATCTAGCTTAAAACTCCAAAGGGAATAGGGAATACTTCCAACTTTTATTTCAACTTAAGCCCATTAGATAATGTTGCTATATGTAAAAAGTCCGCTGTAATAAATGGGAAAACACGGAAGCTTTAACAAGTTAAAATCTCCACTTGCAAACTTTAGAAATGAGCCTCCTACTGTAGCAACAGGCACATTCATTTAGACTTCAATCAGTCCAAGAAAGACTCCCCACTGACATCAGGCAGAAGAATCTGTCTCCGTCACTCCCATCGACGACCGCCCTTCCTTTCTTCCTGAGCAAGTGTGCGAGGATTTCCCGTACTTTAAATTCTTTCAAGTAGAATATCTAACTATTTTTAATCGGTAAAGTTGGGTTTAATCTATCATTTTGCTATTTGTTTTCTATTGGTCTAATCTGTTCTTTACTCCCTTTTCCTCTCTTTTTCTGCCTTTTTTGGGTTATTTACATTATTCATTGTATTCCATTTTAATTCCTATGTTGGCTTATTAACCAAAACTCCTTATCGTGTTATTTTAGTTAATGGTCGCTTTGGGATTTTGTAATTTACTAAGCCTTTATTTTTTTTTTTAGAGCAGTTTTAGGTTCCCAGCAAAATTGAGGGAAAAGTACCCAGATTTCCTATATGCCCCCTGCCCTCATACATGCACAGCTCCCCATATCAACACCCCCACCAGAGTGGTATGTTGTTGATGAACCTATATATATATATATTGCCACAGTCCACTGTTTACATCACTCTTGGTGTTCTACATTCTATGGGTTTGGACAAGTATATAATGACATGTGTCCATCATTATAATATCATACAGAGTATTTTACTGCCCTACAAATCCTGTGCTCTGCCTCTTCAGCCCTCTCTACCCACAACCCCTGACCTTTTTACTGTCTCCATAATTTTGCCTTTTACCAAATGTCATACTGTTGGAATCATACAGTATGTAGCCTTTTCAGATTGGCTTCTTTTACTTAGTGACAGGCATTGAAGGTTCCTATATGTCTTTTCATGGCTTCATAGCTCATTTCTTTTTAGTGCTGAATAATAGTTCGTTGTCTGGACGTGCCGCAGCTTGTTTATCTCCTACTTGAAGGACATCTTGACTGCTTCCAAGTTTCGGTAATAACGAATATAGCTGCTATAAACGTCTGTGCGCAGGCTCTGGTGCAGATGTAAGTTTTCAACTCCTCAGGTATATATTAAGGAGTAAGACCGCCAAATGACATAGTAAGAGTATATTTAGTTTGTAAGAAAATTCCAAACTGTCTTCCACGTGTCTGTACCATTTTGCACCCCACCAGCAGGGAATGAGAGTTCCTGCTGCTCCACATCCTCACCACCACTCGGTGGTGTCAGTGTCTTGGATTTGGACTGTTCTAATAGGTTTGTCCTAGTGGTGTCTGGTTGTTTTCATTTGCATTTCCCTTGTGACATATGGTTGAAAGCATCTTTTCATATACTTATCGTCTTTGTATATCTTCTTTGGTGAGGTGTTTGCTAAGATCTTTGGCCCATTTTTAAATTGGGTTGCTTGTTTTCTTATTGTTGAGTTTGAAGAGTTCTTGGTATATTTTGGATAACAGTCCTTTATTAGATATATCTCTTGGAACTATTTATTCCCAGTCTGTGGCTTGTCTTCTCATTCTTTTTTTTTTTTATCCTCACCCAAGGACATTTTTTTTTTTTTTTCCATTTATATTCAGAAAGAGCGGGAGGGAGAGAGCGGGGAAGAGAGAGAGAAACATCGATATGAGAGAGACACACTGAGTGGTTGCCACCCATACGACCCTAACCGGGGCCGGGCCAAACCGCAACCAAGTTACGTGCCCTCAGAAGGAACCGAACCCGGGACTCTCTGGTCCACGGGCTGATGCTCTAAGCACTGAGCAAAACCGGCCAGGGCCAATTCATTCTCTTGACATTGTCTTTTATATAGCAGATTTTTTTTTTTTTAGAACAGATTTTTAATTTCAGTGGAGTCCAGTTTATTAATTGGTGTTTTATCTAAAAAGTCATCATCATACCCAAGGTCATCTAGGTTTTCTCCTATTTCACCTTGTAGAAGTTTTCTCATTTTACATTTTGGTCTATGATCCGTGTTGAGTGAATTTCTATGAAGGGTGGAAGATCTGTATTTAGATTCATTTTTTTCCTTTTATATGTGAACAGCCAGTTGTTTCAGCACCATTTCTTGAAAAAAACGATCTTTGTTCCATTGTTGCCTTTGCTCCTTTGTTGAAGATTAGTTGACTAGTTATGTGTGTCTATTTCTGTCTTCTATTCCATTGATCCATTAGTCTATTCTTTCATCAATACCACACTGTCTTGACGATTATTGTACTGTCTTGAAGTTGGGTAGTGACATTCCACCAACTTTGCTCTTCCCCTTCAATACTGTGTTGGCTACTCTGGGTCTTTTGCTACTCCATAAAGATATTAGAATCTGTTTGATTTTCCTCATATAGCTCTTGTATGTATTTTGTTAGTTATACCTAACTAGCGTCCTTTTGGGGGATGCGAATGTAAATGGTACTGTGTTTTTAACTTCAACTTGTACTTGTTCATTCTGGTATATAGAAGGGTGACTGACTTTTAAATATTAACCTTGTATCCTGCAACTGTGTTATTTAATCTAGGAGTTTATGGGTTCTTTTTGGTTTTCTATGTAGATAATTATATCATCTGTGAACAAAGACAGTAATTTCTTCCTTTCCAACTTATATACCATTTATTTCCTTTTCTTGTCTTATAGCATTAGCTAGAATATTCAGTATGAAGTTGAAACGGAGTGGTGGGAGGGGACATCTTCACCTTGTACCCAATATTAGTTGGAAAGCTTCAAGTTTCTCACCATTGAGTATGATGTTAGTAGTAGGGTTTTTTTGTAGATATTATTTATCGAGTTGAGGAAGTTCCCCTCTATTCCTAGTTTACTGGAAGTTTGCATCATGAATAGGTGTTGAAATTTGCCAAATGATTTTTCTGCCTCTTTTGACATGATTATGTGTTTTTTCTTCTGTAGCCTATAGATATGACAGATTACATTAATTTATTTTGGAATGTTGAACCAGCCTTTCATACCTGGGATAAATCCCACTTAAAGGTGGTGTGTAATTCTTCTCATACATTGTTGGATTTGATTTGCTAATATATATATATATATATATATATATATATATATATATATATATATATATTTTTTTTTTTTTTTTTTTTTTTTTGAGGATTTGTGCATCTATGTTCATGAGAGATATTAGTCTGTAATATTCTTGTATATGTCTTTGTCTGGTTTTGGAATTAGGGTAATGCTGGCTTCATAGAATAAGTTAAGATGTATTTTATGAAAGAGACTATAGAAAACCAGTATAGTTTCTTCCTTAAATGTTTGGTAGAATTCACCAGTGAACCCATCTGGGCCTGATGCTTTGTTTTGGAAGGTTATTAATTATTGGTTCAACTTCTTTAATAGATATAGACCTATTCAAATTGTCCATTCCTTCTTGTATGAGTTTTGACAAATTATATCTTTCAAGGTATTGGTCTATTTCATCTAGGATTTAAAGTTGTTCATAGTGTTCCTTTATTATCTTAATTTCACAGGATCTGCTTAGTGATGTTCCTTCTATCACTTTTGATATTCATACTTTGCATTCTTTTTTTTCCTTCTTAGCCTGGTTAGAGGCTTTGGTTTTGTTAATTTTTCTCTACTGAGTTCTTAGTTTTAATTTCTGTTCTAATTCTTATTATTTCTTTCCTTCTGTCTACTGTGGATTTTTTTCTAGTTTTCTATGGTGTATCTAGATCTTTCTTCTTTTCTAATATATGCATTCAATGCTATAAATTTCCCTCTACGCACTGCTTTTGCTGCATCCCCCCCCAAACTTTGATTTTATGTTTTGATTTTCATTTAGTTTAAAATATTTTAAAATTTAGAAATTAAGATCTCTTCTTTAACCCATGAGTTATTTAGAAGTATGCTGTTTAATCTAATTTCCATGTATTTTGGATTTCCCAGTTATCCTTCTATTATTGATTTCTAGTTTATCCATTGTGGTCTAAGAAGACACTGTATGATTTGTGTTCTTTTAAATGTGTTAATATGTGTTTTATATCCCAGAATGGGGTCTACCTTGGTGAATATTCCATGTGAGCTTGACAAGAATGGGTATTCTACTATTGAGAATATCTAGCATTTAATTATGCAATCACTTCTCCTTTTCATAATGTAGCTGCAAAAAGCAGTTTACATAAAGCATGTGTGGAACGCCAGGTTTCGGACAGAGTACGAGGTTGAAGGGCCAGCAGAGACACTGTGGCGTGAGCACCTTACCTCTGCACTCCCGTACTGCTCTAACAACCACACTCCTGAGCACTTGGGGCCTGTGTGCGACGTGGCGACCGCAGCTGTCTCAAGGCAGCATCTCCATATTGAATACCTGAGCCCATTCTTTCTGGGTCCAGTTCACCTGAGGGACAAGCAAGCTTTTTAAAAAAAGTTTTCATGTTTTTGTGATCCCTAAAATATATTAAGTAAAAAAAAAAAACACAAAAAATCTGCAGAGCACTGTGTATATACACCACTGCTTTTAATAAAGAGGAAAAATACATATATGTTTGCTTGCATGGGCATAAGTATCTCTGATAACAATGAGTGACTCCAAGGAGTTGTAGACGCCTAGGGGACAGGAGCGGGGTGGTAATGGAGGGTGACTCTCACTGCATCGTTTCTTTTGTACTTTTTGACAGGAATTATGTGAATATTTTATGTATACTAAGGTAAATTAATGTAAAATTAAACTACCAAGACATCACTGTTCACTTATCAGACTGGTAAAAGTACACCCGAGTATGACAGTACACCCCGTGGGCGGGCTCCGTGAAGGAGGCACTTTCATGCATCACTGGGGGATGACAAACGGCTACAACCCAGCCAGGAGGACCGGGGCAGCCTTCACCTGTATTCCACGAGCCTGTGCTCTCTGACCCGGCAATTCCACTACTGGGACTGTATTCTACACACATTCACACATGTGAAATGATTTACAAAAGGTTATTTACTGCAGCATTATTTGTGACAGCAAAATACTGGCAACAGCCCAAATGTCCAAAGTAGACTGGTCCAATAAATGAAGTTTACCTGATTCGATTTTGTTAAGTATTTTTCTTGCACATTGTACAAAGGCCTCTTCTACATTCTCCCCCGTTAGGGCGCTTGTTTCCAAAAACATCAGCTCTAAAATTGACATCAAACAAAAGTCAAAGCCATATTTAGAAGACGGTCATAATTATTTAATTACTAACAGCTTGTTTAGTATTATCCTAGAGTAGCAGGTGAAATGTAATTTATTACTTAAAACCATGTATCTCTGTACATATAAAATCAATAAATGTCAATATATATTTTTAAATGTTAAAAGAAGCCTAGCCTTTTCTGAAAAGTACTAGCGTGCAGCCCGTCACTCCGACCACGCAGAGGTCGTATATGAGCTCACTCTGCGCTACAGAGCGGTCACTAGGACAGCAGGAAGCCCGGTTCTCCGTGTTCTTGCAGGCGAACCTCAACCTCTGGGGCCCGTTTCCTCACTTGTAAAAATGAGGTGCATTTAAATGACATCTAAATTCTTTCTGAGCCTCAACGTTCTAAGCTTCTGTATTTCTAAATAGTTCCTTTACAAACTCATGATGGCTTTTCTCTCTCATGTTTATTTTCCTAGCAGAAAGCCAGTCAATGTGTAAGAATATAACCTGACAGTTCTAGAGTCGAACTGAAAATGGGTATTAGAATATTTTAGTTTTTGATTGGTTCTAAAAATTATTTAAAATGTCTGAATTCCTATCATTTTGTTATCTATAAGCAACCATTAATTTTATGCACAGATCTCATGTATTCTACATGGAAATTCAGAGACGTTTCAAAGGCGTCTGTGATTAAATGACTTAAATCTAATGTGACTAAGATAAAGCCAATAAGCCCAATATACTTCTACTGCTTCTTTTTATTTAGATCTAATATTTCACCATCTTAACTTCGAACTCCTTAAAAAAGATGGCATCATCGATTAAAGCCTTTAGGAATTTTGTGATCAATTTCACTTTAAACCAAGATCTATAAGAATAAAGATCCTAGACTGAAAAGCCATTATAGAATATGAATATGTTTGCTTTGACCATTATAGTAACTTTTACAGGCAGAATACAATATTGTAAAAATATGCTAAATAAGTCTGTCTATAATAAACAATTTGAAGAGCTACATTTCCTAAATATAGTTTAATCTTAAAACTCCAGTTGCTATTTTAGGCTGAAGCAATGTTATTATCCTCCAATCTGCCATTAGAAAAGCAGCAATAGGTCAAAGGTCACTTGCCATTTTCTTGAGCAAATCTGGAGGCTTCTAAGAAAGTAACTTCACGATCTGCATCCAGGTCCTTCTTGTTCCCACAGAGGATGATCACAATGTTCTGACTTGCTAGCATTCTGGCATCTGTTAACCAATTAGTAAGCGCATTGTACGTTTCTCGGCTGCATAATATAAGATTGTGAAAATAATACATGTATTTTATAAAACTAGCAACTCTTTCTGGTCATTCACACTACTTATACTGCTTTTAAACGTTAGGGTAATGCCAGCAACCTTTAAGGTAACTCAGGCAACCTGAACACCCCAAGTGTACACCAGACTCACAGGGTTTGTTTTGTTTTATTTCCAGGAAAATGAGACAGCAAGTCAGATATTCTGTTGTTTTCTGTTTGCCCAATCAAGGTGCAAAATATTTTACAAATATTTATTGAGCTCACAGTATGTGAAACTCGCTGGTAAGCAAGATGTAACAGCTAATCGCCACCATTTAACACAGCGGTGCAGTTCATGGTACTGCTTACAGGAGTCATCACACTGATCCTTTACACAGACTCTGCTGCTGCACCCCTTCTCCGTGAGAAACCTGAGGCCCAGAGAGATCAATGAAGTTGGCCAAAGTCAGAGCGCAGCCAGTGCCTGAGCAGGGACTTGACCAGGCCTTTTCTGAGCCCAGGACCAACCCTCAGACCTGCTGCTTCCCGCCCTCGCATGTCTAGGGACAGACTTCTCCCGGCACCCAGATGGCCTCGTGACCCCACACTTTCTCCACCTGCTAAGTGTGGTGGGGTGGGGCCCACAGTTGTGCCCATTTTTGCCGGAACCCTCATTCCCACACACAGACAAGGTGTATGTCACGCAAGCAGAGTAACACCCTCCAGTGGGACAAGTTCCTACCCAAAGGGCCCCAGGGGGTACGGTTTAGGACAGGTTTCGGAGGCAGTGCTCGCAAACACCCCGGCCAATGCTGCTGGATAGGACGTTGTGCCAGGACAGGCAAGTTCTGCACCAGCATGGCTCCTGAGCTTGAAATGGGGTGCGGGAGACCAAGGGACTGAATTTTAATGTCATTTAGTTACGATATGTGGAAGACAGCTACACATAGCACAGTGAAGACTTAGATTCTTATGATGTGCCAAGAGCTTTATATGAACTAATTTAACTGCCCAGTAACCCCACGAGTATCACGTGACTACCACTACCCCATTTTGGCCAAGGAAACTAAAGTCCAGACTGCCGGGGCACCTGGCCTGAGATGTCACTCTGCTACCCACCCAGACTGGGATCCGCAGCCTGGCTAAGCCCATAGTCTGCACCCTCAACCTCGATCCATGTCAATTATTTCTTATAATTTAGCACATGTGAAGCTTCGCTTTGTGAGCCTTAAGGCAAGTGTCAAAGCACCGTGTTAAGAAACCTAATGCCACCTGTGTAAACCCTGGAGCACATATGCCTTTATACGGTCAGGTCGTGGCAGGGGCTGGCTCAAAACCTCCACGACACCTAACGGAAGGGCTGAGGGCCTTCCTGACTCCCGGCCACGGCACACACCACGCACAGGTGCGCCCGGCCCAGGTCGGACTTCCGGGGGTGCCCGCTGCTGCTCCGCGGGGGCTGCGTTACCTGGTGATGTCGTAGACGAGGAGAGCCCCGGCGGCGCCTCTGTAGTAACTCCTGGTCACGGACCTGGAAGAGGTGCACTGCTTTACTTCCCGGTCGGGCTCCGCGCCCCCCCTGCTCTACGCCGAGCTTCTGAACCACAGCACAGCCACGTGCTCTGGGGCACGATTCGCCCTGGCCGGTTTGGCTCAGCGGTTAGAGCGCTGGCCCGCGGACCAGAGCTCACGGGTCCGATTTCGGTCAAGGGCATAGACTTCGGGTGCGGTTGGTCCCAGCCCTGGTCGGGGTCGTGCGGGAGGCGGCCAGTGGATGTGTCCCTCTCACATGAATGTTTCCCTCCCTCCCTCCTTCCCACTCTGAGAGGCAAAAATATCCTCCGTTGAGCATTAAAACAAAAGAGGAGACATGATTCCAAGACATCTAGATACATGAATGAGGAGCCCTTCTGTCTGAACTGAGGTCACAGGAATGACAGGGCGGTGGGTGACTCTTCCACAGGACTTAACACCTGACTTACAAGGGGGCTGAGTCTCCCGAAGGCAGAAAGGGGCCACCACAACCCGAAGTGGCGCTGGGCCTCCTGCTCCGCCTCCGCCAGGGTCCGATCGTCCCAGTCCCGATGCACAGGTGCCTGGAACCACGAACGCAGAGCCCTGTGCCCTCCCCATTACTAACAGGAGGCCCTGCTCCTTCGCCCATCTCGGCCCATGCTGGGCACACCTCCCTGTCACGTTCTCGGGGACTTTGCTCTTTTGGTAACACACTTTCTCCCTGCATTATCAAGCTCCCTCGCGTCCCCTTTTTCCCATTAGCAAAACAGAATTTGTTCTGGCACCTTCCATCTTAAACAACAAGAGAGGACACCGTCCTCTCAGCGACCAGCCCATCGCTCTTCCCACATGCAGATCTCAGGAGCCGACTCCACCAGCACCTCCTTCTTGTCACCCCTGACCTGGCGTCCACCTCCGCTGCTCCACTGGGACAGTCTGCTGAGGCCCCAAACCTCGCCCTCTGAACCCAGGGCGTTCTCGTCCTCATCCTCTTCCTGGCTCTGCCCGCCGCCCCGCCTCTGCAGCCCCGGCCCGGCCCCTCCGCAGTGCTGCCTCTCCGCCAAGGCCGGCTGGCTCTGCAGAACCTGCCCTGGGGTACTGGATCCCCGGGGCTGGGCCCTCCGTGTTCCCTTCTGTGAAAGCTCTTGACGCAGATTCAACCTTCGCTCAGGCTACTGTAAGACCCAACGTCCCCATGTGACTGCCTAGTGAACACGTGGCACTAACGTCTGTAAGACAGACTCTGGTTCTCGGCCTCCAGATCATCCTGGTGGGAACGGTGGGCAGTGTTCACACTGCCCGATTCTGGATAAACGTGACTCCCTCCCACCCACCTCCATACTGGACTGCAGGCCCTAAGTGACCACACTGCGCACGACTTCCCGCCCACCCGGACCCAACCACCTGCTCTTTGCCGGGACCTCTGCGGCTGCCTAGTGCTGGTGTCCCCACCGCCACCTGAGTCCCTCAGCCCACTCTCCAGGGCCACCTAGCTCCTCACCAAGGCTTCCAGGCCTGCTGTGCTCAGTGTCCAAGGGCAGTGATTTAATCTGTGACACCCCCACCACAACCCTAAGCGCTGGGTTCAGGAAGCTTCCGAGGTTGTGAACACAGGGAGGAGCAGGGAGGGGGTGCCCCGAGGGCCCGGAACCCAGCACTCCCTCCCACTCCCTTGCCCTGTGCACTGCTTCCGTTCCGCGGCTTCGGAATGGTCTCTTCTATAATAAGCAGGTGACGGTGCGTTCCTCAGTTCTGTGAGTCATTCCAGTTAATTCTGAAGCTGGGGGAGGGGCCAAGCAACCCCCCGAATCTGCCATGTGCCTGGGCGTCCTATTTTGAGTGGGGTCGGAAGTGGGGCAGTCTTGTGGACTGAGCCCTCATCTGCGGGGTCTGAAGCCAACTCCAGACAGTGTCAGAATCGAATTGAATTGTTGGACACAGTTGGCGTCAGAATATTTGGATAGACCACACTCGTTTGGTGTCAGAACACAGACACCACAGAAATGACCACTGGCTCCCTCAGGGGAGGTGGGGGAGACTAGGAAACTTCCGAAGACCTCAGAACTACCCTTTATTACTTTCACATTCTGAAAAGGCAGTAATTTTAAAATTTGCTTTTTAGCTCTTGAACTCCAAAGGCAGGTGTGTGGGAGCAGCTCCTCGTTCCACCCAGACTGCTGTCACTGAGGCCACACACGCACGACGTGGCGGCCAGGAGGAGGAGGACGGGGCCACTCGTGGAGCTCAGCTTCAGCAGGCACCTGGCTTCTAGAAGCATCTACGAGTCCTCCGCAAGATACATCACATTCACATGTTTCTCAATAATTTATTTTAAAACATATTTTATGTTATATCTGGACATATGGCTTCTTACATAAATTATTCAAGTATACAAATTGAAGCCTTGAAGACTACTTTTCTGACGTATTCAATTTTTGCAGAAGTTATTGAAACGAAAGTAATACAAGTGCGCAGTCTGAAAGTAAAATGTTGCTAACAGGCTGAAAAGTCACCGCTGTCTCCTGCCTCATTCTGAATCCTGCCCCCAGATGAGTCCTCCTTCAGGACTGATTTGTTGTTCTTGGGCTGATTAATGGCTTAATCATGTTGAACACCTATGTGCTAGGCACGACCCTGGGCTCTGGAGAAACAAGCGCAAAATATGAAAATCCTTCCTTTCAGGAAGCTTATGGTTTTCATTTTTCTGGCGTTTGCTTCTGTAGCTCTAAAAATGTTTAAGAAACGATTTGAATGATTAACGTTAGAGCTTATCACGTTCCCGCTTTGATAAAGAATCTTTAACTCAGGTATGCACCACCCCACCCCACCCTGCTGGTCAGCCGCATCGTCCGTGAGGATTCCAAAAGACACTCCTGTGCCCTCCCAGGACGGTCCCTGTTGGCTTGACTTCCTCTTCCTCTTTCTGGGCTCACTTGTGTTGGTCAAGAATAAGCTCCTGAAGTTTCTAAGATAACCTCCACCCCCCTTCTTGCATGTTTGAAGGAATTCTGGTTTTACTTTCACACATAATTGATTGTTTGGTAAAGTTGAGAATTTTACGTTGCAAGAGTTTTTCTGCTGAGCTTTGAGGGTAAGGCTCTAAGACTGTCGAGCTGCCAATCGTTGTGTCGCGTAGCCCAGCGCCGTTCCCGTCCTAGGCCTTGACTGAGACTGTCTTTTTCTCCGGGAATCTTTTCGTATTTTCACTTCGCTTGTGCTCTGAAATCTCCCATGACGCCGTCTGGAGGTTCCCCAGTCACTGGCACCGGGCGTCAGGCAGGCCAGTACACCTGGAACTCATTCCTTCAGTGGGAAGTTTTTGTTGACTGGTTGTTCCTCACAGCCGGACATCGGAATTCCTGGATGAATTCTGTATTTTCTTAATGGTGTCTCTCCCCTTTTCATCTCAAATTTCTTGTTTAACTTTCGGGAAGAGCACTATTCTATTTCTAGTACAGTAAACCCTCGATTTTGCGGACCTCGATTTAATAGACTTTGGATTTAACGGACATTTCGGGTCCGGATGTCATACGTTGAAATTAACGCCCTATTGGGCTACAACCATAGTCTACATATTTAAATCCAAGAGTCACTGCCGCCTGTAAACACTGTTCAGGGAATGATCGGCACGTGGTGACTGGTTCTGTGGCGGTGGTGACTCTCGGCAGCAGTCTTAGCTCATGCGGGCCAGTGTTCCCGCGTGCGCTGAGCCCCACCGGCCGTGTGCATTTGTGTACTCGAGTGAATGCACGCATTGACGAGCCCTATTCAGTATACACTGAAAATGACTGTACTACATATAGATGGCTTCTCTGTGAAAGTAAACTTTTCACACATACTTAATTTTAACCACACAAACATTATCTACATAAGTAAAACAGGTAAACTAACTTGTCAATTTTTTAACATATCCTTTTGGAAAACCTATTTTATTATAGTGGACTTTGAGCTTTAATAAACATTCCCCCACCCAAATTAGTCCATTATATGGAGGTTTTACTGTACTTTCACTGTTCTTTTTAAAATATAATTTTGTTCGCATTACTTGAGTGTAATCTCTGCTATTTCTGATGATACTGTAGTTTTTTACTGTTTTTTTTCCTAGTCCCCTGAAAATTCCTATTTTCTTTATTTTGGTCTCTTTCTTTTTTTAAATCCCCACTCAAGGATATTTTTCCATTTATCTTCAGATAGAGTGGGAGGGAGGAAGGGAGGAAAGGAGACAGAGAGAGAAACATCGACGTGAAAGAGAGACATCGACTAGGTGCCTCCCACATGACCCAACCAGGGCCAGGGACGAACTGCAACCGAGGTACGTGCCCTTGACCGGAATCGAACCCTGGACTTTGGTCCATGCGCCGATGCTCTAACCGCTGAATCAAACAGGCCAGGGCTGGGCTCTTTCTTTTAGTTAGAGACATTCTTCAAATGCCTGGTGATCCTTGGTTGATCATTTATATTCAAAAGCAAGACTGGAGACTCCCTCTAAGGTGGCTGGACAGATGGGCTGTTTTATTGGGGGAACCGAATGTTGGTATCTTTAGGCCTTCCTTTCGGGGCTTTCATCTTTCTGCAGAGAAGAATCGTTTCTCCGTCCGGAAACACAACGCCTGGCTGCCGGCAGCTAGGAAGAGGTGGGAAGAGAGACTCGGGTGCCCAGACTGCACTTACTTTCCCTCTTTTCGGTCCTTGCCTAGTCCCTGCCCTCTGTGTGCCTTCTGACCTTGGGTCTAGGTGTCCCCTCAGAGACGGCCCTCTCCCCGCACGCACCCGCCCTCTCTGGGGTTCATCAGGACGAAGTGCCACCTGCCCCACGGCCTCGCCGACAGCACTGACCCAGACGCAGCCCCTCTGCCTTACGTCAGCCCCCCGCGTTCCCGCCCTGAACGTTGTCTTTTCAAATGTCTGAATCACAATTAAGCACTCTCCCTTAAAAATCATTTTATTTTATTTTAGTTAATACTATCTCAATTATTTTATAGTAATTTCAGTGGGGCTTTGGGGTTGAGAAGACATAAAAGTCATATTTAATGACTAAAAATGGTTACAGTATTCTTTAAAGTGAAAAATTACTGAGCATTTAAAATATAAAACATACCTGACTAAAGTCATGTTTATAATTAAGTGAAATGCTTGTAGTGGGAGTTAATTTTATTTAACCAAATTTTGAAACAGAGAATATTCTGTTTTGACTTTGTGAATGTGTTCAAACAACATAATTTTTATTTTTTATCCTCACCCGAGGACATTTTTACATTTATCTTCAGATAGAGTGAGAGGGAGAGAGGGAGGTAGAGAGAGAGAGAGAGAGAGAGAGGGAGAGAGAGAGAGAAACATCAATGTGAGAGATACATGGATTGGTTGCCACCCACACGACCCCAACCGGGGCTGGGCCGGGGATGAACTGTAAGCGAGGTACATGCCCTTGGCTGGAATTGAACCTGCAACTCTTTGGTCCACGGGCCGATGCTCTATCCCTTGAGCCAAACTGGCCAGGGCTCAAATAATATAATTAAAATATTAATCCACCTTTGCTTTAGGAGCTACAGAATATGAAACACGTAACCTAGTCTACAGAGATGTAGGGTCACCACTCCGATCATTATGCAATCCGATCATGGAGGAGAGAATATTCTGTGGAATGTGTATCAACCATCAGAACACTAGTTGATGTAAAACAAAACCTCTGAAGAGGTTTTTTTTTTTTTTTTTTAATCCTCACCTGAGGATATGTTTGCATTTATCTTCAGATAGAGTGGGAAGAAGAGAGAGAGAGAAACACTGATGTGAGAGAGACACATCGACTGGTTGCCACCCACATGACCCCAACCGGGGCAGGGGACAAATTGCAACTAAGGTACGTGCCCTTAGCAGGAACCGAACCTGGGTCTCTCCGGTCCATGGGTTGACACTCTAGCCACTGAGCCAAACCGGCCAGGGTTCTAAAGAGATTTTTAAAAATTCTTTTAAATTTCTTTTTAAGAAGCAAAATATAGAGAAAAATTGCCTGTGCTATTAATTGACTCTGTGCCTACAAGTTTCTGTAGAACATGCAATGCCACACCCCAACGGCCTCACTGTCCATGAACAAATCAGCCTTGAAATTAGGACACAGTCACTCAAAACAGACTTTTAGCTTGTCTTAAAGTCTCCAGGGGAGAAGTTTCTAACATGTGTGTGAGGGAGTTTGGGGGCCACATATATTAACAGAATACCGTGATTGATTTTTCAAATGCAATTTTCCAATGTTTTTACTATGTTAGAGAAAAAGCTACCTGAATCGTTCTTGGCCTGCTGTATCCCAGATCTGTAACTTCACATATTTACCACCAACATTTATTATCTTTGAACCAAATTCCACTCCTATTGTATGATTTGAGTCATCTTTGACTGAAAAAGGAAAAGAACAAGACATTTAATTTTAGAACATTAAGGAAACAGGCTTAAATAAGCAACACTACAATCAAGGGTTAATCAATGGAAAATGTCATTTTACTGTAGCCATTCATTTCTCCAACAGTCCCTATTTTAAACACAACACACACAGTCCCTATTCTCAAAGAGACAATAAAGCTTTTTCTCAAAACCCCTGAAACAAACCATGCATTTTACAGCCTAAGCGTGGAGCTGGCTGAATGAAGAGCTGGTGAGGCGCTCACGGTGGACTGCAGTGGCCACCTGGCGCCACCTCAGGGAATCACTGCCCAGGGGCTCGGATCTGCCACTCTGTCAATAACGAGGGAGTGAGAGTTTCAGCTACTTGAATGGATAAATATTCTAAAGAAATTAAAGGGAATAGAAAGTGCTCCCCCCCCCAACTTAATGGAGATCACTGACTAAGAGGAAAAGGAGAGTAAACAGAACAAAAGAGAAACCCCCAAAACCAAACTGCATGCTGTCGCTGTTGAGTTCCCATGGATTTTGGTACCGTGTGGCAATCGTCTGGAATGGGCTTGTTAGAGAAATCCACACGCTGTCTGAATGGACAGGGAAGCAGGCGAAACACGTTGTTTATAAATACACCTGCTGTAAGCTGGCTGCAAGAAGCTGGGATGCTGAAAGGGTAAGCGAGAAGCTGCCATGGCCCACAGTCCACTGCTGGTGTAGTTTTACAACTGCGAGACACAATGTAAGTGCACCCGAAATCAGGGTGCCACGTGACAGTGTGTTCCTGTCTCCTGGCCGTGTGGGGATAAAAGGTATTACCGAACACCAGCAGGTCTCATGCCCAGTCCGTAGGGAACTAGTGGACATGCCGCTAGACTTAAGCTACCAGAAACCTCAGAGAAAGCCTTCAAAGGTGATGACTAAAGGCGAAGGGTATCCTGATTTCGACACGGCCGCAGGAGAAATATGGTGAAAACGTGTGTCCTTGCTGCAGACCATGCTGACTAGCCGTGTCAGGAGTTAGGAGGACGACCATCCAGGGAGAGGAGGCTGGGCCCCTGACCCAAGGTCCTACGGGGCATTTTTCAGACATTACGATGCCAAGTCTCAGCATTGGTGAGGAGACCTGGCCTGCACAGTGCCAGTCAGTCAACACTGGCCCTGTGACTCGGCCCTTCGGGGGTCATGCACTGGCTCATGAAAACGGAAGTAGAATAGATTTCTAGAATTTTATTCTTTTTCCCAGGACATCTTATGCTGCCTCTTCCTTCCATTTTACCCATCACCTAAGATATCTATCTCATACAAGGTGGGGCAAAAGTAGGTTTACAGTGGTTTGTATGGGAAATAATACAGTAATCAACAAATAATAACGCAAGAATAAACTGTTTCACGTAATCACAATTGTAAACCTACTTTTGCCCACTCTGCACTCATTTGCTTAAGAAGCACTTCAATAAATGAAATTAATTCTTTCATACCTTTACCTGACTCCCACTGAATAGACAGGTCATTCCCCCAAATTCTTTCTAATCATTATTACAAAAGCACTGTTTATAAAGGCATTTCAAACTTACAGCTTTTTAAATAGTCTGGAATAAAACATTCCACCTCCCTCACCCAAACAGTGCAAGTCATTGGCAAAGATGGACTGTGGTCAGAAGCCCTGGTACCAGCTGGCCAGTTATTAGATGCCCATCCCAAGAGCACATACCAACTTCTCTAAACCTCTGTTTCTTTACCTGGAAACCAGAACTGATGACAATAACTGCCTTAACTATAATACAAGGCCACTGAGGACCAGATGTTATTGGTTTGCCCAAAATGTACTACTAGGAATTATGGGCCCCTCCCTGCCAGGAAATGAAATACCTCTGCTGTTTCCCACATCATCATATTGTACTTTAGTAGAAAATGTACAGTATGAGTAACCATATATTGAAAAATGAACCACGGTAAAACTGAAATGCTAACGTGATAAAAACTCAGTCATGTTACAAAAGTTTAATAACAAACTTTTAATGTTATTTGCAAACACTCTAAACTATGACCTTTTTCCTGAAGAATACATCCAGAAGTTTGGCTATAAACAGGCTGAGCAAGAGAGGGCTCTCAGAAGACATGCACGGACCACGGACTGTTTGAGGGCACTTACATTTTTTTTCAATAAACTGATGAAGCAGGCAAGACTTGCCAGTTCCCGCATTTCCAATGACCAAGAACTTGAACAAAAAATCTGAAAAACATAAAAAGACCATGAAAAATAACTTTAAAACAGGTGCTATACATTTTTTCTCAGATTATGATCATAAAATTGAATGAAATCTTAGTTGTTAGTAAGACAAAAAAGAGGCAACAGTATTTTGTGAAAACAATAGTAAACATGTAGGCTCACCTTTTCACCTTTTGGATATTTGGCTTACATGCTAATTCAGTGCTTTTTTTTTTTTAAAGACCATGCCTTTGGGACAATTTCCTTTGTTTTTGGAAGTTTGAAAACTACTCTTATAATAAATAAAATGTGTCCCTTTGCCAGCCACTCTGAAATACGAATATGCAATGATAAGCAAAACTGGCCTAGAGATCTCAAGTGTTTTCTGTAGGAAAGAAAACCCTGGTAGACCTGAGGCTTCGAGAAGTCCACGTCCTGCTTGCGGTTCTGCAGGTGTGGCTTCCCTGGGAGATTCCTGTGGCCTTGTTTTCACTTCCTCATCTGTACCCCATGGGAAGAATGGCTTAAGCCAAGTTTGGGTCCATATTCTAAGTCTGAAATTTGTCTCACCCGGTACAGAGAGAGCTCTTCATTTCTTCTTTACATAGAGTAATATATTTAATTTGGGATATTATTTTCCATCAAGTGGAAATGAAGGATTTTCAGAACGGAATTTGTTAATTAGTGTGATGAAGCCTCAGCAGCCTCATGCTGCCTTGGTGATCCATTTTGCTTTTGCTATTAGCAAAGAACTTCGGTTCTGCTCAGCCTAGGAGCTGTAGAGCACCAACTCCTCTCCCACCCTTGCATTTGATCCAGACCCACCACTAACCCTCACGCTGCTAGACTCATTTTGGGGCCCTGCTCTGTACATCTGGTTCCCTCCCTGGCCACCCCACACTCTTTTCCAGACCCAGACCAAGTACTCTCTAGCCCTGCCTCCCTCTCTCCTCCAGCAGAGCCCAAATAGTCCATTTCTTCGCTGATGCTTGGCTTAGACTTGTTTCTTAAGAAGTACATTCATCATCACTCAAAGATTAAGTCTATTCAACCTCTCATGATTTTTTTTTTTAATCCTCACCTGAGGACATTTTTGCATTTTTTGTTCAGACAGAGCGGGGGGGGAGAGAGAGGAAGAGAGAGAGAGAGAGAGAGAGAGAGAGAAACATCGATGTGGAGGGACACATCGAGTGGTTGCCACCCGCACGACCAACCAGGGCCGGGGACAAACTGCAACCGAGGTACATGCCCTCAGCGGGAACCGAACCTGGGTCTCTCCGGACCGCAGGCCGACGCTCTAACCACTGAGCCAAACTGGCCAGGGCACAACCTCTCATGATTTTTAAGTGATTACAGGCAATTAAGCTTATAAAATAGTGCTATTAGAATTGATGGCATTTAAAAATACCAACAGCTTTATGCTTCTCATTGCATGTTTTAGAAGCACGCTGCATCCATGCTCATAGCAGCACTCTTCATAGTCAAGGATGGGAGCAGCCCACGTATCCATCAGTGGACAAATGGATCAACAAAACATGGTATAACATACCATATAATATTACTCAGCACACGCTATACCATGGATGAATCTTGAGGACATTATGCTAAGTGGAAATAAGCCAGTAACAAAAGGACAAATATTGTATGATTCCACTGGAGTCATCAAACTCATGGAAACAGAAAGTAGGATGGTGGGTGCCAGGGGCTGGGGGAAGGAAAAAGGAGAATTAGTGTTTTAATGGATATGAGTATCAGTTTGGAAAGATGAAAAAATTCTGAGACAAGTGGTGGTGATGGTTGTGCAACAACATGAAAGCACTTTAACGCCACAGAACTGTAGACTTAAAATTGGTTAAAAGGACAAATCTTATGTTATATATATTTTACTACACACACAATACATAACAACATTAGTTTTTAATCACACCAGTAAATGTGATATGTATATGTAATGTAATACCTAGAGCAACCACTAACAAAACTATACAAAGAAATACACTAAAGAACATTATAGGACAATCAAATGGAATTCTAAAAAATGTACACTTAAACTACAGAAAAACTGGAAAAAAAAAAAGAGAAATGAGAAACAGCAGAAAACAAAAAATAAGAAGACAAAAGTCCTAGTAATTAATAATTAATGCAAACTATAAATATACCAATTAGAGGGTAAAGATGAGCAGATTAGATTAGACCCCACTAACTACATGCTATCTACAAAAACTCACTACAATTATAATGCCATACGCAGGCTGGAAGTGAAAGAATGGAAAAAGGTGTACCATGCAAACTTTAATTAAAGGAAAGCATTATTAATATCAGACAAAACAGACCTCAAAGAAAATTACCAGAAACAGAAAGGGTCATTATAGAAGGCAAAAGGGTAAATCCACCAATAAGACAGGAGTCCTAAATGTTCATGTATCAAATAACAGAGCTGTAAAAATTTACAGTAAGCTAAGGGTAATTCATCACTGAATTAAGAAAATATTTCTTATAAATTTAGTGTAGCCTAAATGTAAAGTGTTTATAAAGGCTACAGGAGTTAGTGTACAGCTAGTCTTGATGGTGAAAGACTGCTTCACCCCTAAGATTAGAACAAAGTAGGGATGTACCCTCACCACTCTGAGTATCATACAGGAGTTCTAGCCAGCACAATAGGCATGAAAAAGAAACAAAGGAATCCAGATCAAAAAGGGAGAAATAAAATTCTTCTTATTGGCAGATATGATTGTCTAATAGAAAATCCAAGGAACCAAAAAAAAAAAAAGAAAGAAAAGAAAAAACAAAGCCCCCCTCCCCCCCCCACCAATGAGTGAGTTCAGCAAGGTCAAGATATTAAAATACAAAAATCAATTGTATTTCTATATGCTAACAACAAACATGTGGGTACCAAAAAATTATGTTCATGGATTGGAAGGCTCGACTTAGTTTAAGATGTCAATTCTCCCCAAAATGATACACGTGTTAAATAGAATTCCTATTAGAATCCTAGCAAGACTTTTTGGTAGACACAGACAAGATCATTCTAAAAGTTATATAGAAAGACCAAGGAACTAGAACAGCTGAAACAATTTTGAAAAATAAGAACGAAGTGGAAGGAATCAGTGCACCTGGCTGGAGGACTCATGTGGCCACAGCAACTGCAACTGTGTGGAGCTCCAGGGGACAGAGCCACACCACTGGCACAGAAGGGAGAACTAATAAACAGACACCGATATGTCCAACCAACGTCGGAAATGCAAAACAAATTAATGGAAGAAATTTAGCCTTTTAACAAGTGGTACTGAAGCAAATGAACATCCATATGGAAAAAAATGACCTTGACCCTAACTCTCATATCTTATGCAAAATTAATTCAAAATAGATCACTGACTTAAAGATAAAACATAATACTTTAACACTTTTAGAAAAAAATATAAAATCTTCAGAATCTATGGTTAATCAAGGAGTTCTTAGATTTCACACATGCACGCACACACCCCAATCCAAGGAAAAACTGATAAAATGGACTTCATCAAAATGGAAAACTTTTGCATTGCAGAAAACTTAGCTAAGATAATGAACAGAGAAACTACAGACTGGGAAAATATTTGCCAAATATATTCATCAAAGGACTAGTAGCAGCTATACTTTATCCATGTTTAAAAACTCTCAAAAGTCCACAGTACAAAAATTAACAATCTTCGACATAAAACATGAAGAGACATTTCACCGAAAAGGATATACAAATGGCAAATAAGCACATGAACATATTTTTAACATCATTAGACAATAATTAGGGAGATGCAAATTAAAGCCCTAATGAGGTGTCAACACACATACCTCAGATGGCTAGCAGAGAACAGTGATCCCACCAGATGCTGGGGAGGGTGCAGAGAAATGGGCATGTGCACACTGCTGGGGGAAGCAAACGATGGCAGAGCTATCCGGAAAATAGTTTGGAAATTTCTTTAAAACAAAACATAAAACTCTCAGCTGTTGCACTCCCAGGCATTTATCCCAGAAAAAAACAAGCAAAACACAAAGACTTGTGTTTACACAAAACTGTACATGCATGCATGTTTATAGTAGCTTTAGTCATAAAAGCCAAAAAGCCCCACAAAACCCCCAAAACAACAACAAAAAAACCACAAACTGGAAGCAATCTAGATGTTCTTCCACAGGTAAATGGCTAACCAAGGAATACTAGTCAACAATAAAAAGCAATAAACTTGACATGTGCAACAACCTGGATGACTCTCCAGAGAATTATACTGAGTGAAAAATCAATCCCAAGAGACTGCACATTGTAGGAGTCCATTTATACCACACGCATGAAATGAAAGAATGATCGACGTGGAGAACAGGTGAGTGGAGCTAAGGCGGCGGGCAGGAAGCTGGAGTGTGTGCCTCTGAAGGCATCAGGGCGAGGTAGGGGGTGACGGGAATGTCCTGTCTGCAGCTGTGGAAACGTCAGGATCCTGGGTGTGAGATCTAACGATTGTTTTGTGAGATGTTACCATTGGGGAAACAGGGTAAAGGGTACACAAGATCTCTATTTTCCCTGAAAACTGTCTGAATCTATAATTATCTCAAAATTAAAAGTTGTATAAAAAATAGTCTACTATGCACAGTCCTAAACTGAAGGGCCCACCAAAAGGTGTGCTTCGGGAAGAAAGGGCTTCAGGGTAGACGCCAAGCTGTCCACACCTTCTGTCTGGAGATACACGTCTGGTTAACACTCATCAAACAGGCAGCACAATGGGAGATGAAGTATTCCATGTAGGTGAGAAGTACCCAACTCGATGAGGAGTTTCCGTGAAAACAAGGGGGTCTGGACTTAACACACCTCCTTGTAGGTCAGCTCTAGGAGGCAGGGGCCCCGTGCATCAACCGCAAGACTGGAGGCCGGGGAACAGCCTCGTGTTGTCCTCGGGGTACCTGAGGTTTGCTAGATTTTTACAACAGTGAGACTCGCACACCATACCCCCATATTCATGGGGATGGTAGAATCTGCATTGGTTCTACTAACTTATCTTGTT